GGATCTAGAACTAGATGTACCATATGACCCAGCCATCCCATTACTGGGTGTATACCCAAAGGATTATAAATCATGCTGCTATAAAGACACATGCACACGTATGTTTATTGCGGCACCATTCACAATAGCAAAGACTTGGAATCAACCCAAATGTCCATCAGTGACAGACTGGATTAAGAAAATGGGGCACATATACACCATGGAATACTATGCAGCTATAAAAAAGGATGAGTTTGTGTCCTTTGTAGGGACATGGATGCAGCTGGAAACCATCATTCTTAGCAAACTACCACAAGAACAGAAAACCAAACACTGCATGTTCTCACTCATAGGTGGGAACTGAACAATGAGATCACTTGGACTCGGGAAGGGGAACATCACACACTGGGGCCTATCATGGGGAGGGGGGAGGGGGAAGGGATTGCATTGGGAGTTATACCTGATGTAAATGACGAGTTGATGAGTGCTGACGAGTTGATGGGTGCAGCACAGCAACATGGCAGAAGTATACATATGTAACAAACCTGCACGTTATGCACATGTACCCTAGAACTTAAAGTATAATAATAATAATAATAATAATAATAATAATAAAGCAAATTCTTCTTTCTTTCTTATCAGGAAAAAAAAAGAAACTAATGAGAATAAAAGTATAATGTATCAGAATATCTGGGACACAGATAAGGCAATATTAAGAGGGAAATGCACAGCACTAAATGCCCACATCAAAAAGTTAGAAAGATCTCAATTTAACAACCTAACATCACAACTAAAAGAACTAGAGAAGCAAGAGCAAAACAACTTTAAAGCTACGAGAAGATGAGAAATAACCAAAATCGGAGCTGAGCTGAAAGACACTGAGACATGAAAAACCAATGAAAAGATCAACAAGTTCAGGAACTTCTTTTGAAAAAAAGTTAGTAAAATAGATAGACTGCTAGCTAGACTACTAAAGAAGAAAAGAGAGAAGATCCAAATAAACACAATTAGAAATGACAAAGAGGATATTACCACTGACCCCACAGAAATACAAATAAGCAGCCTAGAATATGAACATCTGTAAGCACATGAATTAGAAAATCTAGAAGAAATGTATAAATTCCTGGACACATACATCCTTGCAAGGCTGAGCCAAGAAGAAATTGAGTGCCTGAATAGACCAATAATGAGCTTTGAAGTTGAATCAGTAATATAGCCTACCAACAAGAAAAGCCCAGGACCAGACTGATTCACAACCAAATTCTACCAGATGTAAAAAGAAAAGCTAGTCCCATTCCTACTAGAACTATTCAGAAAAATTGAGAAGGGGATCTGCCCTAATGTATTCTATGAAGCCAGCATTATGCTGATACCAAAATCTGGCAGAGACACAACAATACAAGAAAACTTCAGGCCAATATATGCAAAAATCCTCAGCAAAATACTAACAAACTGAATCCAAGAGCACGTCAAAAACTTATCCACCATGATTAGGTAAGCTTCATCTGTGGGAGGCAAGGTTAGTTCAGTGTATGCAAATCAATAAATGTGATTCATTGCATGTAAAGAACTAAAGACAAAACCACATTATGATCTCAATAAATGCAGAAAATGCTGTTGATAAAATTCAACACCCCTTCATGTTAAAAACTATCCATAAACTAGGTAATGAAGGAATATACCTCAAAATAACAAGAGCCATGTATGACAAACCCACAGACAACATCACATTCAATGGGCAAAAGCTGGCAGCACTCCCCTTAAAAACTGGCACAAAGATAAGAATGCCCTTTTTCAACCTTCTTATTCAACATAGTATTGGAAGTCCTGGACAGAGCAATCAGGTAAGAGAATGAAATAAGCGCATCCAAATAGGAAGAGAGAAAGTCAAACTACCCCTGTTTGCAGATGACATCATCCTATATCCAGAAAATCTCACAGTCTTGACAAAAAAGCTCCTTATACTGATGAATAACGTCCACAAAGTCTCAGGATGGAGAATCAATATACAAAAATCACTAGCATTCCCATACATCAACAAGACACAAGCTGAGAGCCAAATCAGAAAGGCAATCCCATTCACAGTTGCCACACAAAGAAAAACATACCTAGGAATACAGTTAAACAGGGAGGTGAAAGATCTCTACAAGGAGAACAACAGAGCACTGCTCAAAAAAGAATCAGAGATGATACAAACAAATGAAAAAACATGCCATGCTTATGAATATGAAAAATCAATATCATTAAAATGGCCCCTACTGCCCAAAGCAATTTATAGATTCAATGATATTTCTATTAAGCTACTAATGACATTCTTCATAGAACTAGGAAAAAAACTATTTTAAAATTCATATGGAACCAAGAATAGCCAAAGCAATCCTAAGCAAAAAGAACAAAGCAGGAGGCATCGTACTACCAAAACTTAAACTATACTATGGGACTACAGAAACCAAAACAGCAGGGTACTGGTACAAAAACAACACATAGACCAATGGAACAGATTAAAGCAGAAACAAGACCACACACCTACAACCATCTGATCCTCAAAAAACCTGACAAAAATAAGCAACGGGGGAACAATTCCCTATTCAATAAATGGTGCTGGGATAATTGGCTAACCATATGCAGAAGATTAAAACTGGACTTCTTCTTTACACCATATATAAAAATTAACTGAAGATGGATGAAAGACTTAAATGTGAAACCTAAATCTATAAAAAACCTGGAAGACAACCTAGTCAATACCATCTGGACACAGGAACAGGCAAAGATTTCATGACAAAGATGCCTAAAGCAATTGCAACAAATGCAAAAAATTCGACAAGTTGGGTCTGATTAAACAAAAGAGCTTCTACATGGTAAAAGAAATTATCAACAAAGTGGACAACCTAAAGAATAGAAAACAATTTGCAAACTATTCATCTAACAAAGGTCTAATATTTAGCATGATAAGGAATTTAAATTCAGGAGAAAAACTCCACTAAAAATTAAACAAAGGACATGAACAAACGTTTTTCAATAGAAGACATACATGTGGCCAACAAACATATCAAAAAACCTCAATAGCACTGATCATTAGAAAAATGCAAATCAAAACCCTAATGAGATACCATCTCACACCAGTCAGAATGACTACTATGAAAATATCCAAAAAATAACAGATATTGGCAAGGTTGCAAAGAAAAGACAATGCTTATACACTGTTGGGGGTGTGTAAATTAGTTCATCCATTGTAGAAAACAGTGCAGCTATTCCTCAAAGACCTGAAAACAGAAATACTATTCAACCCAGCAACCTCAATACTGGGATATACTTGCAGAAATATAAATTGTTCTATCATAAAGCTACATGCACATGTAGGTTCACTGTAACACTATTCACAATAGCAAAGACATGGAATCAACCTAAATGCCTGTCAATGGTAGATGGGATAAAGAAAATGTGGTACATATATACCATGGAATACTATGCAGCTGTAAAAAAATAATGAGATCATCTCCTTTGTTGGAACATGGTTGGAGCTGGAGGCCATTATCCTAAACTAATATACAAACAGAAAGCCAAATACTGCAGGTTCTCAATTATAAGTTGTAGCTAAATGATGAGAACACATGGACACATGAAGGGGAACAACACACACTGGGGACTATTAGAGGATAAAGGATGTGAGGAAGGAGAGGATCATGAAAAATAACTGACAAGTACTAGGCTTAATACCTGGGTGACAAAATACTCTGTAAAACAAATCCCCGTGACACAACTTTACCAACATAACAACCCTGCATGTGTACCCTTGAACTTAAAATTAAAGTTAACAAAAAAAAGACACAATCTAATCGTTGTAGGAAGTTATTGATATATACAAATGGCTTAAGAATATGTAGTTCTCTAACGGGAATCAAATATTCTAAAATCTATATCCTGGTATATATGAACCAAATATATTTTCATATTAGGACTAGCGGGACCACTTAATAACCAGGTTTACAAGTGTTAGAAGCAGAGCTAAGCCATGACTGAGGAAATATGGTGAAATTCAATGTTTGGGTTTAGCATAAAGCCTCAATACAGCGATGGTTCAATAAACATTCACTATTTTAGTGTTTTAGTAAAGTGTTTAGCTAATTAGTAAAGATCCCAAGGAAAGAAATATTTGCCAAAGGAGGGTGTATTGTTCTCATGCTGCTAATAAAAACATACCCAAGGCTCGGTAGTTTTATAAAGAAAAGAGGTTTATTGGACTCACAGTTCCACATGGCTGGGGAAGTCTCACAATCATGGCAGAAGGGAAAGGAGAAGCAAAGGCATGTCTTACATGGTGGCAGTCAAGAGGGCTTCGGCAGGGGAACTCCCATTTATAAAACCATCAGATCTCATAAGACTTATTCACTACCATGAGAGTAGTATGAAGGAAACTGTCCCTATGATTCAATTATCTCCACCTGGCCCCACCCATGACACATGGGGATTGTTATAATTCGAGGTGGGATTTGGGTGGGGACACAGCTAAATAATATCAGAGAGGAACTTTACACCTCTTATGTGAAAGAAAAATATTATGCATGCCTTTTTTGTTTTCAGGAGAGATCAAGAAAAGAGCAATCTAACTAAGCCATGGCAAGTATTTATTATAAAAGAGTGTTGAATATAATGCGATGCAGAAAATAAAGTTAAAAGTGTCTCTATGAGAATCCAAAAAAGAAGCGGTTATTTCAGGATGGGAAATATTAATTTATTTTATCTTAGTTATATCTATAGCTGCCAAATTCACTGTTCATTTCTGAGTATATTTTAAGATCAGCCCAATAAGACTGATCCATTTAATTAGAAAGGTGCTTAAGTTATATGGACTGCAGTACTGTTAGTTTCAGATCCTACTGAATGGAGGCAACTCCCCCAGACTCCTGACATTAGTTCCAAACAAGCCTATCACCTACAAAGTCCTATAAGATTTAGTGCCCTATAGGTCTTCTTGGTCTGCTTGAATACTTGGAACCTTACATTCCAGTTTTCCTTTGCAGGATACTACTTCACAGAACCCAGATACCATACTGTGAGAAGCCCAAGTCATATAGAAAGGCTGTGTGTAGGCGTTCCAGTAGGTAGTCTTAGTTGAACCCATCCTTTGAGTCATCACAGGGCAGCTGCCAGACATGAGTGAAGAAGACTACAGATGATGACAGCCCAGAACTAGCTCCAAATATTGGAGCTATTCTTCCCAGCAGAAGCTCCAAATATTGCTCTATATTCACAGTGTACTGTCTCAATTCCCAACCATCAAATTCATAAGCATAATAAATTGCTATGACTTTATGCCATGAAGTGTGGGTGGTTTGCAACACAGCAATAGACAGATAGCCAGAATACCAGGGATGTCAAAATGGCTTGTTTACATCCTATTACTATATGAAAACTAATATACTGCAAAAGCCCTAGGTAGGCATACATTTTCATTGTGGCATTATTGATAACAGGGAATAGATACATTTGTAAGATTAAATGAGGCAGAAATGATTTACACATTAATAAAAGCAAAAACTATGCAGCCATTAAAGTAGTGTAAAATGAAGATAGCAATCAAGAAAATGTGTATGTTCTTAGGTTAAGCTAAAAATAAAAACATCAAATAATGTACAATTAGGTGTGCATTTATTAAAACATATATAATATTTATGAAGAGTATTAAAAGTCTGTGTGCAAAAGAGAAAATTTCTGCCAACATTAAGTATTCAAAGTTTGAATGACCTTGTGCCAGATTTTTAAAATATTTTATACAGTTATGTTTTCTATAGAAGTATATATAATATACAGGTAGTTCCACATTTCACAGAGTTTGGCAATTAATTCTTCCAAACTGGGTGGGGCTACAGCAGAAAAAAACTGAAGAAATGTTTGTTCTTTTGGACTCTGAAGGACAGCATTGCCTCTACTAGATATGAAAGAGAGAGAGGGTTATTTCAGCATAGTTCTGCAACACACACATAAATTCCTTCAGTGGTTGGATGTGGGTCATTGACAGAAGCTTGAGTAAAGGTCAGAAACTGACTGTCATATCATGCAAACACAGAAACATCTATGTACTCTTCCATTTAAATTCCCCCATGTCTCGCATTTTCTATGATAATAGGCACATCCTCTATGGAAGGAAGTCTACATTCTGTGGAAAAATTTATGAGTTCTGTGATTTAATGAGTTTGTATTTTCTAGTAATGTTTACAAAGCTGAAGTTCCTGCTTTGTTTCCTGCTGGGAGACAACAGCTTTTTGCTTTTACCATTGTCTGCAAGTCCTACTTGTATCTGTCAGTTTAAACATGTTTAATAATCATTTTCAGAATTTATATTGAACTAAATTTAAATATCAGAGTTTATGAGGCTGAGACCATATAGTCCATTTCCCAGATGCTAGAAGCTGCTGGCACTAACAGAGTTTTGCAAGTAAATACCAGCAGTCTGATTCAACCTCAAATGTGCCAGGAAAACATTTCAGACAGTCTTCTGTTAGCTCTTTGAATATCATCATCTGGCAAGGCCTGGAGATAAACTCTTGAGACACGAACATGGGATAGGATACTCCCTGAAGTAGGTCCAGATTATGTCTGATCCTAATCTGTGCCAAAACCAACAACTGCTCCTGCCTTCTTAACTCCTTAAGGTCTGACCTAATGATACCAGATGGAAAAGAATGCCAGTCTTGAGAGAGGGTAGCAGGTTCAAACAGGGGAATCATACACACGTATAACAGAGCAGCCATGAGAAACTGCACATGGCTGGTTGTTCCTTTCCAATGGTGCCCTGAGAGTTTATGAGCTAAAACAGGCACTTAGAATTGAATTATTAGGTAATAAACTCTATCTAAGATTTCATAGTGTCATGTGTCATACTTAAGTTTATAAAAATTAGGGATTTTATTTTCATTACCATCTCTTTGTTCATATTCAAGAGCTAATGCCTTCATTTTGTTATAGTACCAAACTCTTGAAGGTCATCAAAAAGAAGTTACGATCAAAAGTGAAAACAAGTTAAGGAACAGAAATATTAAAAATAATTGTTATAAACCAAAAACAATAATATTTTATGCCAATTGCATTGCCAATCAAATAACATCTCTAGGGTGACATCATACTCTCTTCATTTTGTCTATTAAATTTCATATATAAAGTCCACTTAATTTGATGCATCTTATCTAAAATATCTAATGTATAAATATAAGTATGAAAATGTCATATATGTGTGTTAAGTGTAAGTAGTTGTGATTAAACTTTACAATTAAACTTTATACACTTGAATAATATTCACCTTTTTCTTTTAATTCCAGAATTTCTGTATGAAATTCAAGGAGTCTTAAAGGAAAAAAGGAGAAATACATGACTTTTTTTCTTATTTCCCCCTTACAGCATTTACAAGCAATGCTGTTTCCTTATCATTTCTATAATCAGTAAATTTTAAAAATTAAATTGTTTCTGTGATAACTCCAATAACCCAATTAGTTATAAAACCAATGTAATATAAAGGATTTGTTATACAAAAGGCTCATAATTCTATGGGTGCAAATTATATTGAAAAATGTAATCATTTGGCACCTTTTCCTCAATCATTTTTTGGCAGTTGGGAGGGGAAATCATGTACCACACTGTTTGCCTGCTCTGACTGATCTGAGTAGCGATGACCTATTAGGTGCTAATCTTTCTCTTTATTTCTCATTCTGATAGTTTAGGAACACATCTCAAACTGGGTCCTGCTCTAGCTATGTCAAAGAAATAAAAACACCAGATTCATGTTAAATTAGCTTGTAATTGTTTCTGGTTTGGAAATGATAATAGCCTGTGGCCTTTGATTAGCTTTAGATAATTTATAAAACTCTTTTATATGAATTACTCTATTTTCTCCTTGTATCCTTGGAGTGATAGGTTTTCCAGAACAGCCAAAAGCTCAGGAGAGTTAATTTCTCAGAATCAAATAATTTAAAAGCAGTTGAGCTGATGGAATAGATTTTATAGAATGCAATTGCCCTTTGTATGTTAAACACCATGGTTATTCTGGTGAACTCTGCCTCTAAAGCTGAAACAATGAACCCTAAAAACAAGGTTTTCCAATTCCACAGGTGACATGATAATTCTCATCTTGCTCTCACAGCTGACATTTAAGTTAAAAAAAAACAGTAACAAAGTATTTAAAAGGGATTAAAATTAGTGACTATCAAGAAACCTAACAATATAATACATATTTCACCAAAGTCAAAAAAAATCTAAAACTCAGACTAAGAGTTAATATAACTTTATTTTCTTTATTTTCATGGACAGAGGAAAATCCATAAGAAGTTATGATAAAATGCTGACTTTGGCTTACTCATAAAAATCAATAAAAACATTTAATTTTCAAGAGTAGGGGATATTTTGATGACATAAGCTTCCTTACTTCCACGGATTTAAATGTGCAAGACTTTTAGGACAAAATGACATTTCATTATGACATAGTTCCATTACGCTCCAACAGTATGCTGAATGCCATGCTATATAAACATTGAATGCTAATGAAGGTTACAAACAATGCCTTTAAAGGAAAATCTCATTTCCAGAAAAGGGAGACATTTCTTATTTAAATAAAGGCTTTCTATATGAGGCTTGTTAGTCCTGTTTTAATCTACACTATTCTGGTTAAAATATCCAATTTACTCTTTTTGTGTGTGATTATCATCCTTTGTATAGTGTCATTTAGCTGTGGTAATAGCAGTTAGGGGCAGCACTTGAAAACTCATAGCAATTTCAGTTTTAACCATCTAGGCTTCATGCTTAATTGTTAAACATAACAAGGAAGATGTAAAATAGAAAACATGAAACATAATAAAGATATTTGACTGCTCATAAATATATACACAAAAACACAAACACATAAAGAGTCAGGAATCGTTGGAACAGGTTAGTTTGAAGTTTGTTAGTCATTTAACTCCAAGTGTTCTGAAGCAGATTGCTATAGCATATTCTTCAAGACCCTGATTTAAATAGTATTTAGCTATTTGCAATTAGTCCATTCATCAGCTTATAAACTTGAGTATGTTCCTTATTTTCATTTAGTAACAATGTCATAATAGCACATGCATGCAAAAAGAGCAAAAGAAGATATTGCTTACATTATTAAATAATTCAAATGAAGAGTAGTGGTTCAGTCTTGACAAGTTGAAAACTGCTCTGGGTCAGAAAAAGATACAGGTGCAAGTTATATTGAAAAAACTTAACATTTGGCACCTTTTCCTCAACCATTTTTTGGCAGTTGGGAGGGAAAATCATGCACCATACTGTTTGCCGCTCTGACTGATCTGAGCAGCAATGACCTATCACGGTGCTAATCTTTCTCTTTATATCTCAATCTGATACCACCAACAGTTGACCATCAAAGAAAGTTATTCCTTTGTTTCATGAACTACAAGTTGTTTTACAAGTTTTCCTGTATTTGAGATATGGCATGTTCTAGACACATGGTATGAAAAACTGGAAGTACTGGAGCAAGAATCGATGACAGAGTCAGACTCAAATTTTCTATCAGTGGCCTTGGCTTGAGAAAACATCCACAGGGAGTTTCTGTGATAATAGCAAGAGCAAAAGAGCCCCTTGTGGCTGCAAACAATTAGGTTTATCTCTTACCCCAGCTGGTTTCTATGGCCAGAGGCAGAGATAACTATTTAATATTTACATTCAAACCTTTTCTGATACTTCCATTTCTGTGATAGACCAGAAGGAATTTAAACAACTGCATTAATTATTTAAAGATGGGCCCCAGATATTCTCACTTATATCAATGCCACTGCTTCCAAGGAGCTCTGCAGCCATTACTGAGAAACTTAGCTGACTATTTTGTTTCTTAATGACACATCTAGAAGATGTTGAAGGCATAGTTAAATGGCTTAGATAAATCTCAAGTTCGTTTCTGATATGAATTGCTGAATGAGCCGCAGATTCTGAATAGGTATGCACATCCTATATAATATAATCAAGTGCTGTGTGGAGAAAAAACTTTTTCTTTTATCACAATGACGGCTTATTGCCTCAACTGAGAGCTACATGAGTTTAAAACCCTTAAAGGTTTTACAGTGTGCTCATTAATAGCTAATAATCAATGTTTTATTAGGTCTGTACAGATTGCAATTTGCAAAAATCCACTAAATTAGGTTGTAATAAAAGAGAGAAAATATTTTTAGAGTGCAAAATTGTCTTCCAAATCCAAAGAATCCAGAAGCCGAAGAATCCAGATTTAGTCAGGCCTCAAAAAGAAACTGTAC